AATCAGGATGTGGACCCATCGGGACCGTCAAAACACCAATCCGGGTCGGTTTACTCAAAACGTTGACCGAAATCAACTCAAATAGAAATTTTAGGCAAAATTCTTATCTTTATCAATTTTTTTAACATAAACGCTTTCTGGCAACACGCCCGGACTGCATACGCAATTTCGAGAAGGGATAAAATAATGTGTTTAAATCTTAAAATCGCAGAATTGAGTTCTAAAATCTAGGATGACCTATCGGGTCATCACAAAATTACATATCCCTTAAACCACATATAAATTCAATTGTTACTCATTTTAAGGGTAAACAGTTAATAAGAAAGTCTAAATAGATACTCTCTCAGATCCACTTTAATTAAATTTTTGGCCTTTTTTGGTGATCCACAGTATATGATTTTTATATCAAGAACGAATTAATTTCTTTTTTCAAAGTTGTCCTTAGAGTAAAAAATCTCGAAGTATCTATTATAGTTTCAGACTTTCAATGAACAATAAAGATAGAGTAAAGATTAATATAGTTGTGAGACAACCAAAAAAAAAATTAATTAAAGTTCATCGAGGGAGTAACGGTAATCAAGAAATAATTAGGATTGGAACTTGTAATTCTGTGGTTGCACTTAGCCGAATCCGTGCTAATTGACGGCAAACTTCTCCTGGACCCCCACAGCATGTGTATTCTAACACTATCCTTTTCCTGTCAATTCCCATTTTGAAAAATTAATTTAAATTAAATTAGTCATTCACTTAACCGGTCAAATTAAAAACAGTTGACCAATATATAATATATATAATTCTTGTATAATATGTGTTATACACATATTATTAATGTATAATTTATGTAAACAATTAGTCGGTGGCATAACTGTGATGGTCGGATTTTTCCTCCTCATCCCTTTTTAATCCAAAAGATTAAACAACAAAAGTCCCACTTTCTGAGTTTCGGGATGTGTTCTTTTCTTAACCACATCTTCATCTCTTAAATCAAACAGCTATGAGCCTATAACAATTTCAATAAAGCATAGGAGTATAATATAATGAAGCTGCCGATTTTTGAGTTCAGTTTATCATTAGTTAATCTTTCCATAGCCACATCAACACCCCTTCAACCAAACAGCTTGCTTTATAATGATTATAATAAACCATATATATACAAAAATATATTGAAGGTTCCACATTTTGAGTTGTCGATCGGGCGATGTGTTCTTTTTCTTAAGTCACACATTTTAAAGTAAAGCATTTAATAATATGACTATTATAGACAATGGCGTATTCAATATTTATAGCAAGGAGATTAAAAAAAATATTTTTTTTGTCTCAAATTATTTGTCGTGGTTTCTAAAAATAATTGTCTCAATTATTTATTATTTTATAAGCTCAAGAAAAATTTAATTATTTTTTCTCATTTTACCTTTAGTAGTAATTGTTCTTGAAGATGGAAATGACATATAAATAAAAATAAATATTCAATGAAGATAAATTATATTTTAAGACATAAAAAATAATAAAATAGTCAAAAATCCCTTCTAATTAATACTTCTTAAGGGCCGTGTAAAAGAGATATATGACGGATAATTTGAGACGGAGGGAGTAACAAATGAACTGCTAGTAATTGAGCTTGAACACATGAATTCATACAAATACTAAACCTCCTTTAATTACCATCAGCTCTAGAGAGTTGAATCATGGGGATTCAATTACATGTATATATTTAAGGGATCTTTACATAAATAGTCGGTCATATTTATTGCTTACATTTTCTAGCCATATATAGAAATTGTACATTAATTATATATAATTACATATATAATGCATAAATTATGCATATATTATATCTTTACCGACTATTTTTAGTTTAAGCGATTGGGTGCTTTGCTACTTCATGGTGTTAATATAGTGAGACGTTTAAGAGAAAGATAAATGGTATATAGTTTATACAAGAATTCTTATGATTAAGATTATTAAAATGTTCTTAAAAGTCAAATAATGCGGAATGGAGGTATAGTAGTATTTAAGATCAAAACTTAATTACGTGATAAAGAAAGAGAAGAAAAGGAAAGGAGAAAGAAAATAAACACGAAAAGGTGTTGTTTATAATTCTACCACTATCATTTCTTGCACCTTTCTTTCGCTTTAGATTGAAAACAACATTTTTCAATGCTAAGTTGGACGGACTTCGTTGTGGAGAAAAAAACTAGTAGATGAATTCAAACATATAGGGTGTATTTCGTATGGAGATTTTCCAATTTTGTTATGTTTGGTTGATTTAAATATTTTGGAAAATATTTTTTTCATGTACTCATTTTCATTTTCCCCATGAACTTAATTTCCTTCAATTGGAGGAAAATATTTTTCCTATCAAAAAAAGGAAAATATTTTTTTAAACTCTTTTTCAACTTTCTCCACCCTATTTCTCATCCCCACCAACTTTCTTTTCATGCTGTAAAGAGAGTTTTTTTTTTTGTATTTCAACAATGAGTATATTTTTTCATGATGTAAAAAAAGTACTTTCTTTCATTTCAACAAAATGAGTATTTTCTTTTCATGATGTTGAAAAAGTAATTTTTTTCATTTCAACAAACTAACTACTTTCTTTTCCTGAAATAGAAAAAGTATTTTTTCCCAAAATAACGAGTACCTTTTTTCATGATGTAGACAAATATTTTCTTTCATTTAAATAAAACGAGTAACAAAGCGAGTACTTGTTTTATGATGTAGAAAAAGTATTTTCTTTTGTTTCAACAAAATGAATATTTTCTTTTCATGATGCAGAAAAATATTTTCTTCTATTTCAACAAAATGAGTACTTTCTTTTCATGATGCAGAAAAAACATTCTTTCGTTTCAACAAACTAAATAGTTTTTTTTCCTACGTAGAAAAAATATTTTTTTTCATTTTAACAAACTGAATATTTTTTTCATGATGTAGGAAAATTTATTTTGTTTTCATTTCAACAAACTAAGTATTTTCTTTTCCTGTTCATAGAAAAAATAATTTTTCCAACAAAATGAGTATTTTCTTTTGATGATGTAGAAAAATATTTTTTTTTTATTTCAACAAAAATGAGTACTTTCTTTTCATGATGTAAAAAAAGTATTTTCTTTCATCTCAACAAACTAAGTATTTTCTTTTCCCAATGAAGAAAAAATATTTTCGTTCATTTTAACAAAACAAATATTTTCTTTTCATGAAGTAGAAACAAAAATTCTTTCATTTCAACAAAAAGAATACTTTATTTTCATGATGTAGAAAATGTATTTTCTTTCATTTCAATAACTGCATATTTCCTTTTTATTATGTAGAAAAAGTATTTTCTTTGATTCAACAAAATGAGTAATTTCTTTTAATATTGTAGAAAATGATACTTTCTTCTTTTTTAAAAAAAATAAAGTATTTTTTTTATAGTTATCAAGCTCAAATTTTAACTTTGTTCCTATATAAAAAAGTAAAGTTGCACATTAGTTTCTTTGGGTTTGTGTGAATTTTGAAAAGAATAATTAAATTCTTGAAGAAAATAGACTCCTAGAGGGGTGGGGGGAGAGGGGAGGAAGGAGTATAAAAAATATGAGAATTTTGGGGAAGGCGAGTTAAGGAGAGTAGTACCAGGGGAGGCTCTAAAGGCTAGGCCAGTGAGGTCATTGCCTTAGGCCCCCAAAATTTGAAGGCACCAAATTTTCTTAATCTCTTGTTATTATGACTACTATATACTACAAAATTTATATAAATAATTATTATAAAGAAAAGTATCATAGTATATCTTTTTGTTATTTGATTGAGATTATTTTATATCAATAGGTTCATAAATTATGATAATTTTCTCACTCATTAATTAGTATATTTGCTTCACTTTTCAATTTTAATTTTATTCTTTTGTATAGAAATTAAGATATATATCGACAACATAATGAATTTCTTTACAATCTTTTTTGAAACTGCAGGAACACAAAAGTATTCATGCACCGGTTTTCTTTTAGTGTAACTCAACATATTATATTAGGTTATTTACAATTAATTTTAGATATTCACCAATAAGTGCTACTAATTAATAGAATAAACTACAATTATCATTTAAATTATTTAGAATGAGAAATATTTTTGACATTGTTAATGCTCAAAATTTAAGTTATTACGTCATATACGTTTATTTCTTTTTCTTGATTGTGATGATAGCCAAATCTAAATTTTCACTTTGGGTTTTGGATCTCAACATCCGATAATTCACCACTTTATTTTTTGTGCTCTCCCCACCCCCACCCCCTCTTTTTTTTTTTTGAAATTCGCTATTTTTTGTCTTAAATGATTAATTTATTATCTAGAAAGCAAATTTTATTGTTAAATGTAAAAATTTTATAAAATAAATTCAAGGGCCTCTCATTATGGTTTCACCTTAAGCCACAAGACCAATTGAGCCGCCCCTAAGTAGTATAAGAAATTATTTTCCTAAAAATATTTTATATTCTCTAACCAAATACTAAAAAAAAAATTTCAAAAATTTTATTTTACTCACCAATCAAATAAGGAAAAATAAATGATAAAACACCTCATTTTGCATGAAAATATTTTTCATGGAAACTATTTTCCTTCGTACCAAACACACCCATAGTGTATAAGTATTCCACTCGAAATATAATTGTAAAATCATACTAGCTTCAGAAGCACTATTTCTAATAAATCTTTATTTTTCCTTTTGTTTTTCTTTAGTCTTTTGAAGATTCTAAAGAAAAAACAAATGTGAACTACTTTATGAGGAAAATGGCCAAGTGTACAAGAAGGATTTTTTTTTCCGAAGTGGAATATTCATTTTATTGGTTATAAAAAGGGACCAATAAGAGCTATTCGAATCTTCCTATCTCAAATTCCCTTTTAGCTATTCCCCTCTCTCTCTCTCTCTCAACTCATTTTAAAAAAAAAAAAAAAAAAAAAAAA